GGTTTGGTTTGTTCATGGTGTTTGTTTTGTGTGGATTCATTGAGTTTGTTCATTGTTGAGGACAGCTGTTTATGTCCCGAGGTGTTTGTTTGTTTGTTTTTGTCATGGCAGCAGGCAGGGGTCGATGGGTCTTTGAAGGCAGTGCTGGAGTGACAATTTGGTGAATTATGGGTTGGGCCCATCGTAGGTATGGGTGTCCCTTCCCAATTATAAGGTCATGTTGGTAATGCGGGAGTTCATTGGCTATATCTGGGACTACGTAACTGTAGTATTGTCCCCGTGGCGGTGTAGTAGTGACTGGGGGCCTTTCATTGGGTGTCAGATACAGACGAGTTTGTGATGGGAGTAATGGTGCCTTTGAAGACCAGGTCAGTTCCTTACTGTCAGGTATCAATTAAGTTTACTGTAAGAAGTGTTATGTTTGAGTTATGTTAAATAAATGGCTGCTATGGCCATACACCAGAAAGAGAGTCGCGTGGTCATTTGGGTGGGGAAGGTTTTGAAGGGTGGTGGTGGTTTTATGGATTAGGGGTAAGTATTAGCCTCGGTATTCTGCAAGTCCAACAGTCATGACAACTTGTGTCCAAAGTTCCCATCTCTAGTATTCTACCGACAATGGTAACAGATTTCCTGCTACTTGCCCTTGATCTAGACATGCTTTATGTGAAGATTAGGAAAGGCAGGAGCCATCAAAATATTTCTATGGGGCCCCATGATCTGTAGTTATGCCCCAGCTTGTAAGTTTAGGTGTTACATTTTTTCCCTGTTCGGGAGATTTCCTTTCACTAAAGTGATGGGGAAATCTGCTCTTAGCCATCATCTTAACAGGCAAGTGCCTTCATTGAAAAATTTCCCCTCACCCCTTTTTGGGTGCAAACTATAAAATGCTGGATTTTCCATCACTTCCCGTCTCAGTGACAATAAGCACCAGGAAAAAATAGTGTGGGTAAATCTACCTACCAGGGACATAGACATCAAAAAACATTTAAAAGGGGTTCTAATTCAACCCTGTGCTCAAAAAAGCTAATAGAAATGATGGCTATACTTACACATTAACAATAGTTTAGGGGCATCACTAAGTATACCTTTAGGCATGTAAAGCGGTAGCAAAGGGCAACTAACTTTCCTTAAAAACATTACCCTACCCCTCCTACTGCCTACCTACATACCTTATATATATATAGCTCCCCCATGTAAATGAGTGCTCAACAATGGCTGTGAATTTCCAGAGTCATGTTGTCACCTATAGGCTCCCATGGCCCAGCTGTTGTTGGTGCTCCCTCCTCTCCCCTGCAGCTGCCACTCACTGACACAGGGGAACTGGAGCTGCTGGATATGTGACTGGACTAAATATAGGTATGTACAGAGGTCTTTTTTTATACAGGGTAGGTAGGATGGGTAGGAGGAAAGGAGAGGGAACATGTTAAAGAACAGTTAGTGTTACCTTTCCTCCCACTTTATTTCAACTGTACTGTATATTAAGCTGTTATGTGGTCTCCTAGCAGAGAAAACTGAAGCTTACCCAGGGCTTCTCATCCCCACATACACAAAGTCAACCTGTTGCTTTGCCCTTCATGGACAAAAGCAGAGATTCTCTTAAATTGTTTTAGCACTGTTAAATTACATTTTCAGATTGGACAATAAAATACTTTTCTGACCTGTAATGGATACTACTGCAAGCTTGGCATTTTTTTTAAGACTGAAATTGTTTCTAATATCTTTATGTTTTGCCAGCATTACACAACATATGATGTTTAGTGATTTTTACCTTTCTATTTATATCTGTTGGACAGATATATAAAGCAGATGCTCAACACCAGGTATGTTGCTGTCAGGGCCAATCTCAGATAGAATGCACATCCTATAAAAAAAAAAAAAAAAAAACCACAATGGATGTATGAGAAACTGAACCAGTGAAAAGCATACTATATCGTAGCTTATAGGGTTTATATTCCCCTAAAGCTAATATTTTTTCTTTTTTTCAGATACAAATAGCTCAATATCTTTTGGAATCTCATCTCTTGATTCTCCAATTAGATCTCTCTTAGCGTTCCCTCCCACACTTTACACAGAAGGCAGCAACAGTACAGGGCACCCCTTCCCTGGAGTCACTACGAGATATCAGAAAACTATGGGTGTTTCAGCCCAACTGTGTTTTTACCCATCAATGAAATACAGGGGCGGACTGATGACTCATGGGGCCCCCGGGCAATAGGGGATCATGGGGCCCCTGTGTCCTTGCCCAAACTCAAAAAAGCCTATGAAAAAGGTACCGGGGCATCTCATGGGGCCCCCTACTGACCCCGGGCCCTCGGACAGTGCCCGAGTTTCCAAATGGTCAGTCCACCCCTGATGAAATATCTGATTTGAGAGGAATGGCAATTTTATATTACTAAACTGCCTGGGAAAGGGTTATTCAACTCTTTGAAGTTGTGAACCCCAAGAGCCAGGATTAAGGTTCTAGGTGTTAAGTTTCCCATATGTTTTTTCATGCCAAAAGTTGTATCCCTTATGACAAACACAATAAAAAAAAACATCAAAGCAGGCAATTTGTGGTTTCCAAAAGTCCATTCTAGCTTGTTGGAACCACAGTGTGGAGCACACATTATGAGGGGGTTACAACAGAATGTTATGCTTGCCCAAAATGACTGATATGCCCCCTGTCAAGACAGAATTAGGTTTCCAAGTGTTAGGTTTTGCACATTAAAAGCTGTAGTCCTTATGACAGTGTAGGTACTGGTAATTTGTGGTATCCAAAAGACTGGAACAGCTAGTTGGGACTAGAGTTCAAAGCAAGAATCATGGGGTTACAGCAGAACATTTTGCTTGCCTTAAATAAATTATGTCCCCCTGTACATATACTTTATATCACCTTTTCAAATATTTCTTATATAGCAAGCCAGCCCACCTACTAAAAATACAACAAGGTTCCCCTCTGGCCAGTATCTGGTGCTAACTCTGACACAGCTTCACGTAAGGTATTCTTTTTGAGTGGGCATACATACTGTTTACAGTAGGTCAAAGCTTCATGGAGAATGACAGAATTGAGATATCTGTTCAACTCCAGACTCAATAGACCCTCCAACCATTTTATCTTGTGTCTCAGCTGATATAGCATGTGTGGAGAGAAATGCTTTCTTAAATTTTTAATGTGCTATAGCACAAAGATTTTACGACATGTTGGAACTGAATTATAATGAGTGCTTCTTAATGTCATAATAGTTTGCTATCATTCGTAGGAGATACTTGGATGTATTTTAGAATGAAGCTGTTAAATGAGAGCAGAATTAGACCATGTGTTTTCTAATTTAACCAACAGTTATAACACAGCATCAAATTTTAATGGTCACCCTACCCTGCGTGATGAGAAATGGTCAAGTCACCCATGGGCTTCATATAGTTTTGGGAACTCCAGCAGGAAGATCTCCCCACCATTGTGCCTGACACTTTTTCTAAAGGTTTGGTGTTCCCACAAACTAGGCATAGGGGATGTACCACTCCTCTGTAACCATTTAGGCCTCTTGTCTTCTGTGTTCACAGAAAATAAATGCAATTGTTGGGTGGTTTAACTCTCCAGCATCTAACAAAATTTGTCACATTAATGGGTGCATGAGCGGATCTTCCTGTTTTCCTACCTAGAGCACAGATTGGCTTTAAATATAAAGTAACATTCCTCTGGTCAGCAGGGTTGTGTACTATGCACAGGAGGTCCATGTCCCAGGACTCAGGCCGTAGTGACATCTGGACTGTGTCTCTAGTACTGTTATACTGTTGATAGGCAGAGCCTCCATGCCTGTATTTCCAGATATAGGACACCACTGAGAGGTTTGTTGGGACAGAACAATGAACAGTCATATTACACCAGTTGTTGCTTGTCTTCTCCAATTCAGCTTCTAAAGTTGGGGCCGGGACAGGCTCTGCAATCAGAAAAAAAGCTGTTTTAGCCTAAGATGAAACAATTGATCATTTCAAATATATGTAGTACCCTCCTAGGTAGCTAGGGGGAGCTAGCTAGGCTTTTTCAGCTAGGAATGCTGAATAGCAGTCTGGGCTGAGTTAGAGGGTTATCTTAGGTCAGGGCTGGGAGGCTCTGCAGGTCAGTTCCCCGATACCGTCCCCTGCTCTAGAAACTTGGAGAAAGTTCTGGAAGTAGTGGGCAGAGGTGAGGAGGAGTTGGCCTGCACACGTAGAGGATCCTGGCCAATCCCCAAGCAGGAGGCTTGGCAAAGGGCTATGGCAGCATTTAAGTGTGGCTGAGCCTGCTCAGCAGCAGGAGAGTTCGGGTGGAAGATGCAGTGAAAAAGCTGGAGTGTAGAGCATGGGAGGGGGTCCAGGAAAGGGGCCTACCTGCAAGCAGGGGCTGAAAGGGATGATCTCTCAGCCTCAACCATCCCCTGAGAGAGGGCAGCCTGGGAAGCAAGGAAGGAGCCAGCTCAGCATAATACCTGAAGGCAGCCACAAACCCACAAGCGTTCAGGAGTGGACTGAGTAAGTAATCCCACACCCCTTTGGCTAGTTAAGGGGAGAGGGAATTCTGGTAGGAAACCTGACTAGACCCCATCTGGGACTGCTAATATAAAGGTGGCAGATTCTGGGTCCCCTTGCTCAGGGATTCCCTCAGGCAGCTGGGTGAAGAGAAAAATGAATCTAGGGTCTGAGGTGGTACACCTGGAGGACTAGAGAACTCTTCCAACCAAGAGACTTTGCTGTCTAATGGACTTGCACATAGATTCTAAAGAGTTTGTACTCAGTTCACAGATCCCTTGGGCATCCCACACACCCTTCTACCCCATCCAAGTTCAATATCCCTTAAAAAAACAAACAAACAAAAAACCTCAACGACTGTTTACTGTCTCCTGTGTGCAAGGTCTGAAGAAAATGCTTGTGGCCTGGCTGTGCAGGATTATAGGGGTACCCAAAATTCAGCGACTCCTAAAGGGGTAGTGCTACATATACATTCTGTGTATATACTATATATATATATGTATATATATATACTGTATATACAGGCCTTGAAATTTCCACTCGCCTGCTCGCCAATGACAAGTGGAAATTATGGTGGGGGCGATTGTGTCCCCCAGGGCCATCTTACTGAGCAGGCTCAGAGCTCAGGCCAGATCTGTCATTGCCACTGGGAGCCGTCAGACTGCTCAATAGCTGAGCGCAGTGAAAGCAAAGGAAGTGGTGTGTGCTGTGCTCTCTGCCCCCCCAGAGTGCAGTACCTGGCTCTGTGAGTGAACAATGAAGTACTGCAACTTTTTATAGGGGTGTGTGTGTGTGTGTCTAATTTCACCTCACTCTGCTCACATGATCCTCTATGTCAGCCAGCGGTGGCTTCAGGGGAGAGGAGAGAGCACTTAACAGCGTGCGTGTGTATTTGTGTGTGTCTGTGTATGCATGTACATGTGTCTGTGTGTATCTGTACATGTGCCTGCGTGTATATACATGTATGTGTGTGTGTACATGTGTCTGTGTGTGTGCATGTACATGTGTGTTTGTGTGTATGTATGTACATGTGTCTGTGTGTACATGTGTCTGTGTATGTATGTACATGTGTCTGTGCATGTGTATTTCTGTGTATGTACATGTATCTGTGTGTATGCGTGTCTGTATGTGCCTGTGTGTGTATATACATGTGTCTGTATGTGTGTGTGTACATGCGTCTCTGTGAGTGTGTGTACATGTTTCTGTGTGTGTGTATGTACACGTCTGTGTGTGTGTACAGGTGTCTCTGTGTGTGTTTGTTAGTGGTGAGTAACTCTTAAGGCCTGGCTAGTAGCTCAGTACTTGAAATTTTAAGCCCTTTTTATATTTATTTATTTATTTACTTTTTTTTTATATTTTTTTCCTTTTTTCATGAAAGATAGATGGGTATGTTTCTACTGAGTGTTGATGTATATTATGTGAACATCATCAGGGTCAGGCTGTGGCCTGATGAGCCAGCATCAGCTATCCGTAGAGAGGTGAAAGTGCTGCCAATTCTGTGAGCAGTATAGATATAGGTGGGTGAACTGTAAGTACAAAGAGCACTGTTACACCTCTTGATGGAAAATATCTGAAAAAAATAACTTTCTTTGGTACTCATAGAAGTCAATTAGTTATGTTTTAAGTCTGTGCAAAGAATTAGAAAATTGTATTGGAAGGTAAAAGGGGGACCAGATTGGTTGTTGTACTCAAGTAGGATAGTTCTTCCTTCAGACTTCTAAAGCCCAACTATGGGGTAATTTTTTATTGCCCATGTCCCCCTGCCTTAGCCTGCAATACTCACCTTCACTTTAGAGCCGTTCCCTGCTCTACTTTTTCTTCACCACAAGTTGTTCAAGTTGAATGAGTCCCAGCGTTACTCAACCCAGAATACGGAGCACATTCATAAGTGCAGGGCATCCTGACATTACACAGTCCTTCCTTCACAATTTCCTTGCTGAGATAATCAGCACCCCTCTTTATATCAATATGGCCCGCCGAACCACAAGAAGAGGCAAAGATGAAAAGGACCCTACGGAAATCCATGACTGGCTTAAATGCTTCAGAGAAGAAAAGTATTAAAACACAAACAGCATATAATACTACCAGTGAGGACACAAAGGGAGGCAGAAACATCAATTTTGGGGGGCCTTGCACTTTATATACCTGTTAAAGTAAACACCTACCATACACAAAGAGAACAAATGACTGTTCATGTGATTCTTTGGTTGTAAGTGTGATATCAGCCATATATTTCCCAGAATCCCTTAGTGTCAGCTGTTCAATAACCAGTGTGGCTCCATTATCAAGCGTCTTTATCCTGTCAGCGAACTGATCAGCATATTTTTTCAGCTGGCCATATTTTATTGCTGCCACCTTGACTGTTCTCTCTTCAGATGTAAATGTCCACACATATTCTTCTATAGGCACTGTTGAAGTCAACTGACTGGAAATCCGAACAGAATGGTTTAGAAGGCCAAACACTTCCTCTATGGTATGCTCTTGAGCTACAAGAAACAGGATAGAATCTTATAAAACATTAAGTCTTATGCAAAGCTAAATTTCAGGCACATATATGAAAAGGTAATGGCATGCTTACTTATTTTGAGAGAGATTGCTTTAGATTCCATAGAATCCATCCGAGAAACCTTAACATTAAGCCCGAACCCTGATGAAGGGGGCTAAATTGGCTCCAGAAATGCATGGGTTACCACTGTTCTTCCTGCTGTCTCATTTTTACCAACAATAAAGGATTATGGATTTTTAGATCATTTGGTGCTCTGTTTGCTGATTTCATTGTGGTCTTTTTAGCTCTACTTTTTGGTTCTACTTTTTGGGATAAGCCCCATTAGACATGTGCATGCCTGAAAATTTTGTTTTGTTTTGTACATTGAAGAATTTAATTTCATCATATTTGCTATTTTGACCAGGAATTCATTTCATATATCTTTTCATTTTGTTCTGTTGGTCTGGGTGGATTTGAAAGATTTTGCAATTTTTCCAGAAGATTGGGATATTGTATATTCAATATATTATCAAATTAGTTGGATTCAAATTAAAAAGATTCTATATTTTCGGATGCTAGCTCAACCCACCAAAAGAAATGGCATGAGCTGATTGGACAATATTGACTGGCGTCATGTGCATATGAATTAACAAATGGAATGAAATTCAGATCCATTTGTTATCTGAATCAGAATTATCAAACAAATGTGAAAATTGAATTAGTTTCCCCACAGGCCAGAACTACTACTGCATCATGTGGTGTAATCTGAATTAAACAAATGCATTTGTTAATTTCATTACCCCAACTTATTTTGGGATTCGTTGACATTCATTACTATGTCCGTTCGGAGATTCGTATATATACCCGATTCACCTAAAATGAAATTTTTGTCTGAAAAGTGAACCAACAAAAAACGCACATGTCTAATCTCCATCTTCTGTGCTTGAGCAGCTGAGGCCAAGTTGTGAAGTTCTAATGCGTGTTGTAGTTGACAGGATCAGGATTTGAGTCCAGTGCCTCACACTCACTTTATTTGAAACTGTTTTACTGTACTGTCAGGGCTGCCTAAATCTCAAGACTAGAAATGCAAATCCTTTGACATGTCAACCACTGACCATATATGTATTTTAATTGTGTGCGTATCTGTTTGGCTGGAGTTCAGGAAATCCCCAGCAATGAATCTGTAAGTAAAATGTTATTTTGTATATTTTCTTTCTGTTTTTGTACATTTAGAGATTATTTTACATTTGAATCACTTAGCAGGCAAGAAATATGTAAAGTAAACCTTTCCTTATGAAAAAAAAAAAGAATGGGTCTCCATGTTTTTTTCTGGAAAAGGTTTCCTTTGCTCACAACCAAAATGTTAAATGTAGTGAATTACACGGCCTCCATAAAGACTAATCCCTGTACTACCAAGCTTGTGCTGAGCTAGAGCAATGTTTGTTCTGCATCGCCTGTCATGTGGTGTGGGCTCCTGATGGGAAGGAGTTATGGAGCCTTCTTTGGAGACAGCACCAAGATAAACACTGTGCATTATGGAGACACTATAACATTCAAGACATGTACTGGATTATATTTAAAATTTTCTGTAGACTTTATATGGTTGTGATCTAACATGAGTGTAAAAAGTACCCAAATTCTTCAAAAAAAAATCACATTAAAAAATACAGAACAGGACTAGAGAGAACAATTTCCAACAGTGACACCTGTTCTATTGGCCTATTTTGATTGCCTTTTTTATTTTAGAATATCTATAATGAACTCTTAATGATCTCAGAAGCCTCTTGAACTGATGTCAAAAGCACGCAACAAATGCCTATTGAGCCCTGTAAATACTGGTCCTAAGAAGGTATATGACCTCACTTTGGAGAAATTGCCTCTCACTCCCTTCTTTATCTTTGAGACTGGATGTGAAAGCAATTTAGAGTCTGACAAGAGTTTTAACCTTTCCATGTGGTATTCAAAGCTTAAAAAAAAACCCAAACCTAACCCCACCTTAAAACCCACCTAAAAGCAGAAAGGGAGTTTATTCAATTAAAACCATACTATAAACAAAGATAGTAAACCAATCCCCAGAATGATACAATTGGGTCCTACCTCATTTTCAATTTCAAATATTGTAACACAACTTTCAAATAAGATATAAGATTACTCAAAAGACTTTGGGATTGATTTACTAAAACTTGAGAGTGCAAAATCTGATGCAACTCTGCATAGATACCAATCAGCTTCCAGTTTTGTTCAAAGCGTAATTGAACAAGCTGAAGATAGAATCTGATTGGTTACCATGCATAGATGCACCACAATTGTACTCCCCAGTTTTAGTAAATCAACCCCTTTGGTGTGCTTTTTAAGTTTACTGTATATTTATAATGTCTACTTGGGATCTGGGATCTATCTAGAGTAGAGATTTAGAATCCATTTGTTTCACTTAATGGATAATGTAACTTCTGTCTATGTGGTGTGCAGACTTGACTACACTTCTGAAAGTCACCAAAGGCACAAGATTTCAAATTGTATGTTATATATGTTACAGTACAAAATGCAAATATTTGTTTTGTAATAGATGTACATTGTTCAACTCACCCGAAACTTGGAGAAAGGCTACCAGCAATGCAAAGAAAAACCTATTCATCTCACTTCTCATCTTCTCAGTTCTCAGTGTAATGTCATTTCCCCTCTACGCTTAGGTAGAAGTACACAGCAAAACCACAGATTGGTCATGTGGCCTAATACACTTATGTCGGAGCATGGAATGTTTTTGAATCTTGTTTCATTTCACAACAATGTACATGATGTTTTAAAAAGAAAATAGTTATGTATTTTAAAGACCATTATTAGGCAAAGCAAACATCACTTTCATCCCTCCCACTAATCCATCTAGCTATTTAAGGAAAAATACATTGTGAAACATTTTTTATGCTCACCTAAGTTTGCCATCAGAGTCTCTTGCTGGTACCCCACGTCCAAGAGTCACAACCGATCGATCCAGAATGCAGTAGACCTCTCACCTCTTTCTGACATTGTCATCCACTGCAGTTTTCAAAGGTGCCCATCAATGGACAGCCAATAGGAGGTCTTCAGAAAATTCAGGAAGTGACATGGGTACCTGAAGAAGGACTCTCTTTTTGCAAGGAAGAATTAGAAAACATGGGACCCAATGCATCACATGACCACAAATGTATTTATTTTATCCATTTAAAAAAGGAAAAAAAAATGAACCCAGTGATTGACTCGAGTTAATCTTTATGTAGTCGTGATGTTAAATTTAGAAACATTTAAGGAAGTTTTTTTTCTAAATAAAGTGATACTCTAAAATTCAGACTCCAGAGAAAATCAATTGGTGGAATTTTTTGGATAGAGTGGAGAACAATTAACGTTTCTCTCTGTGACCCATAGGGAAGATTTTCCTTCACTACATTTGCCTTTGGCATATGTATAAGAAATGGGGGGCATAGGCGTGTTCAGGCTGGGACGACATGAACAACAATGAAAACTTTGGCTTGATCAGATGTTCTAACCCTTCCCCACTCTACTAAAATGTGCTTCTGTATCAGGGGCGGACTGACAACTCATGGGGCCCCCCGGGCAATAGGGGATCATGGGGCCCCTGTGTC